AAATGCTTAGAATGGAAAAATACTTGAGTTATTAAAGAAAGCACAAAGGCCACTATTTTGAACTATTTAATGGCCACTATTGTGTAAAGTGAAAAATACGTAATAAAATCGTTTTGAAATTTTAACGTTATAAATTTCATACAGTCAACAAAAAATAATAAATACAAAGCTTAAATAAATTTGACAGCATCGTAAAATAAATTCTCTGCTATATTTTATTTACTTGCCGTTCTACTTCTTGTGGCTGAAATTAAATTAAGAATGCTTCTCGTTCCAAATTCTTTTTAAGAATTGCGCCTTCAGTCAGTTAAATTAATTTCTCTTTTATGACTGAAGCAAACGGAATGGTAGTTGAAACTATGAGGGGTAAAGTAACAATTTTCTTCTCGTTCTCAAACTAGAATTTTGTGACTAAATTAGGTTAATAGTGATATACACAGTAGAAGACAAAACTGTACTTAAGAAGGAAAAAAAAACGCAATACTTCTCGCAATTTAGAATGAAATATTTCTGTTCTCTAAGTTAAAACACGCAATTGAAAAATAAAAGTGATGATTTAAATCAAAAAGTTTTTTAAGTCACGCAAAACCGCCAATATATCTATTTAAATAGTTCACGAATACATCTTGAATTGATTTCTTTAACAAGCTTCTTTCCCCTTGCTTCTACTTCAAATTAGGTGTCATCCGATTTGCCCACTCGCACATTTTTCCACGAAAAACCACTGTTTGATGAAGCATAGGCGCTTCATGCGCTTTCATGATGAAACTAGGTATTCGATTAGATTTGTTTGGCCTAATTTCCCAACCCTACAATTCTAGGTCTGTTGAGTCGTTTCCTAGGAGACCATCCTACAAACTTCCCGCCCTCCGTGATTTCGCCTTATATGCTGCTAATGCGCATGCTTTGACAGCCAATCCAGCTCAATGTTTAGCCGAAGCAACGGATGAACGATAACTTAGAATGTTTATAATAGAATAAAAACTTATAAATACATATAATTTTTTTAAACACTTTATTACTATATAAATTGATTTTATATTCCATGAATGTACTCGGATTTATTTATTAGTTTTATGTTGGTTTCCGGATTCTTTATTTTTAGTTTTATATTTTTCCTATTTAACTTATCAAACTTTAATAAAAAACGGAATATTTCTGGAAATGGAATATCTGAAAAACAAATAAAATTCATAACCACAAAATATCTATTAAAATCGAAAAGGAATTTGCCAATGTAAACATAAATTGATTGACCTCATAAATAAGTAAATAAAATATAAATTCCTTTTGTAATGGAATGAGCAGTTATTTTCAAGCACCGTATCTGTAGTTTTGTAATTATTTTACTTAAAACTCTTACGAATATTTACTAAATTATTATCAAAAGTATTATATTTAAAGAAAAAAAAAACATCCCATTCGTTCGAGTTTCCAAAAATTAAGCTTCTCATTTCAAAGAAAATAATTTTAGATGGATTTCATATTTTAATGATTGAATTTTGTAAATTATATTAAATCAAGCTCTTACCTTCATCTTTTAACATAATTAAAATTATTAACAAAAATATTTTGCCAAATTTGACATGATGAAATTATTAAATTCTTTTAAACTTTAAATTATTAAATGATATTTTTTATTGTATAGGTAAAACTTCAAAGAAATATATAAATTCTTTTCGAGAATATCGTTTTCTTTCGTCGTCTATTGTTAAGAAGTATTTTTCTTAGTATTTTTTTTATTCTTTCAAAACATTCTTTTTTTCTCAAGAAATAAAAAATGCATTAAATTAAAAAAAATTGGGATTAAATTATTCCACTTGAGTGGATATATTCACCTTATATCGATTCACATATTTTAGGTAAAAATAGTGACAAAGGTCAATACCATGCAATTTTCTCTCAAAATAATGAGAAAACGTGATTTGAAAGTTTCGGATTGCAAGACATTAAGTTGGCTGTGAGCGCATGCGCAACGCATTAAATCTCCATTTCCATTCTTCCAATGTCCGACAAACATAAAACAACTTTTCAACAATAGCATGCTGTAATATAAGCTGTCACCTTGAGACAGCACATATTTTTAACAGCATAATAGAATGTATATAATGTTAAAACAAATAGTTATTTCCTTTTTTTTACGTACGGATTTGCGTAAGAAGTGCAACTATTTCGATGGGACATTTCAGTGAGTTTGCTATGTATATAGTAGCCTGTCCCAAAAAGTTTGATTTAGAACGAGAATAAGTCTCTATAAAAGATTTTACTTTCTGGTAAGCTTCTATTTATATTTTTCCTGTGAAAAATATATTACCTTGAATTTATTAAGAATTAGAAAAAAATGCCTTGATTTTAAACTGAATGCCGACCTACTGGCATTATTTATTTTTGTTTACAAATATTAACTACCAAATAATGAAAATAGGAATCATTTACCAAAATTTGGAAATTATTATGTAATTAATATTATGTAAGTATATAATTAGGAAATTATTTTGTAATTAATATTCTTAGCATGGGAAACAATTGTTTTTATTAATGCATCATATTTATTCGTAAATTTGTTCTTATGTCCTATTAGTTTTATGTTTATTTTAAATATCTTATATGCGTTCGTTTGTTATTTACGACAAGCATATAAAATTAATAATAAGTTAATAATAAGCCATCGAGTAAATGTTAGATTTTCTGCAATTAAAATTTTTTATTTCATTTAACAAATAAGTATTAAAGCTTATAAAAAATTATACAATTAGAGAATAAATATAACGTAATTGTATTATAATATTAAGAATAATTAACTCTTAGTTTACCAGTTTTAAACTACATGCCCTCTACAGTGTTCTCGTACTATTTTTCTTTTTTTCTAAACTTTTATACCTGTGGTTGGAGTGTGGGATATGTAAAAATATTATTAGTAAAGGCATCTAGCAAAACAAAATCATAGGAAAAATATCCCCCAAAATTAAATTAAATCATCTAAAATTAAAGCCGTTATATTGCTTAAAATGTTTGTAGTTTATGAGTTTAATCACAAGTTAATAAAAGTAAAAAGGATTAATTTTCTTACATTGATTTGTTTTGTTCATTAAAATATGTTCTAAATGATATGTTTCTTTTCTTTGTAATTGCATTTTGTCTAGTCATGAACTATTATGCTTTAATTTTAAATTGTTACTATTTAAAAATGTAAATTTAAAGTCTCTTAAAGCTCATTAATTTGTGATATTTGATTTTTTTTCCAAAAATAAATTTGCTTTACAAACATGGGTTAAACAATTAATAGAGTACGCTATAAATATTTGAATCTTAAAAAAAACAAAAAAACAATAATAATAAAAAAAAAGCTGTCTCCCAGTGGGCTGATTGTAAAGAAACGGTTTCCAGTAGAACACCGATGTCAAGCATCAATGGCTGCGGTCAGTAAGCGGGTGGGTGACCATTTTGATCAGCCTGCTAAAGGAACCGAGGGTGCGCGATATCGGTCCTCGTTGAACTGTTATACCGTAAAGTGATCGAATTCGCGCGCAGGTCGTCGGACTACCAAAGCAGGGGGTGTCATCCCCTCTGCAGAGGATCAAAAGTGTGATGGCATGTCTTCGGATCATCCTCAGGGATGTTTCTCTGACCGTTGCCAATAGCCCATTGTGCAGCTCTAGTGCGACGTAAATAAAGTACCAACCTACCTTAAAGAAGGAAAAAAAAATATATTTATCAAATGGAATGGGAATGAAAAATGGTGAAGAGGCACTGTCTCTTATAGTTTACTCCGAGTTTTTTTCAACGAAAAAAAAGATCACAAAACATAATTAATGCAGCATTATAATAATTTAAACTATTCATAAAAATAAAATAAAACAATTATAACGTTCGATATTAAGCTTTTCCTGTGACAAAGCATAAATTAATATAATTCGCAGCTTGCTTTTGTAACAGTTGCCTATCTAATAATTGCACTGGATATAAAAGTTTCGCAAATGAAAAGTTGATACGCGTAATTGGGTCATCTTTCGTAATATTAAATTAACATGCCGCAGTATATATAACTGATTAACCAGTTCGCATGAAAGCATTGCAAATAAATGCAAATTTGTGTAAAGATGGATGCGTCTGGTACTTTTCCATACGTTTTTAAATGGCAAAATGTGATATAATGTGGACAATTATGATTGAACCTTTGTTATTGAAAGCGAACACTGACTAACGGGTGTGAGGGGAAAATAAACCTCTGAATACATTCCTGCTGTTGATGAAATGATTACAGAGAATTAGTGATGTACCAGATACCCGTTCATATTTTTATTACCCACTAGTTTTTGACCGGACTCGGCAAAAGAACCCGTTTTATAGTCTTCTTCCTGGTATTTAACACTAGATTGCCTAAGGAAGTCATTTTGACTGCTTTTAATTTCAATTAGAAAAACAATGATGTATATAATGACACAATTTCTTAACATTTTGTACAACATATAATTTTTTTTATTGATAATATTTACTAATAACTTGTTATATAACTGTAAATAATATAAAAAATATTAAAAATTAATTTTAAACAAATTTCTTTACACATTATTTATACTTTTACAATCCACTGCTTTTGGGCAATATAGGTATATACTAAATTTCAGTCTTTCTAGTGTTAAGTGTTTCCATTTATGATCTAGATTTCAATATGAAAAAGTATACATCTGATATTAATCTGTTATGATTTATGATCTACATTGAAATTTAAGTTTTTATGATCTTTTTCCAATAACTTATGCTGAAATCTGCGAAATATTTACAAACATATTTATATAACCTTGATCATCATTTTACATTCAATTGCGATATTCTTTGTTTGTTGAAAGTTCGACATCATTTATTCTTTCTTAGCTGAAGGAATATTTTATTGTTTGCGCTCGACTGACCTTACTTTCTAATGTACGCCTTGTTATATAAAAAGTAAGAGTTGTTTTTCAAAGGGGAATATTCAAGTAATATTTTTTCTTTTTTTTTAGGAGCTTGTGTCTTCCTTTCAAACTGATTCCTGCCTGATGTTGGTCGCATGTAAGGGATTGTGTATTATGATAGAATTATAAAGGATTTATATACATTGAAATAATATTCAACGAAACAAAAAAAATGCCGATGCCATCAGCTAGAAAGAAATGCATTTGTCAGCTTTGCACTTGTGGGTAAGTGAGACTTAAAAATATTTGTTACTTTATAAATTACAATTTCAAAGTACAGTTACAAAGTATAGTACAATTTTAAAGCCCCATAATTTTTTTGAGCAAATTTTCATCAAGTTTTGTTCACAAAGAGTACAAATCAATGTACTTCCAGAAATAATGCTTCTATTTTTGACAATTCAGCAATCTTTGACCTGTATTTCGTTATTTTTAGCACTTTGCAAACTCACGTGATTTTTGACGAAACGCAAACTCTCAACTTTTTGACGTAATTGTTTCAATCAAGACTCATCTTTGTGCATTCTAGGATTTCACCAAATTTTTTTTTCCTGTTTTTTAAAATTGTTTTAGCAATATGAAAGAGATGCTAAGGACTAACTGTCTCTCTTGTTAAGCAGATTTCCGGTTTCGAATCCTGACGTTGATTGAAGACTGATTAAATCGTTTACTTATTATTTTAGATCTTGCTTCGTAATCAATTGTGTTATGCATATATTGCAAGTCTCAGACTTTTTACAAATTTGTATCGGCCACTGATTGGAGATAGAAATTTCCATATTTTGACGCAATGTCCGTTCGTAGAAAATTTAATAAATTTTAATGATTCGTTTTGCGTTTTTTACTCATGTTTTGAAAAACACTTCAATTTTTTTAAATACAAATGCTTATGGTTTGGAGAATAGTGGTGTTGAGAGCAGGATTGGGTTTTTGCCGTCAAAAACTGGTTTTTGACATGACAGTGGTATAAACCGCGTTTTTACCGGTAAAGACAGTCAAAAACCTACTATTTCCTTTAATTTATGGCATATAGCGAACAATATATTATTTTCACATAATTGCCTTTCTAAATGAATGTTGTAAATGATTGCTATTAATGCTGCAACTATATACATGTATTCTTATAGAAGGATATACATTCATACAGAAATATTGTAATATACTTATTGAAAATAGTGATACTTACTTTTATCATTATAGCTTGATTTGCAAAGGATTCAAAATGTTGCACTTCTTAATTGTTAGAAATAAACAAACAAACGAAAAAGCTTGAAACTATTAATAAATTCAAGAACTAAAAAGAAGAATTTAAAATTTGGCATTTCTTAAATATTAGAAATAAGCTAGACAAAACTATGGGTTTTTGACGTTTTTGACAGAGGTTTTTTTACATGACTGTAAAAACCATGGTAAAAACCGGTAAAAGCTGTCATGTGTCAAAAACTTGCCAACCCTGGTTGAGAGGTATCAAAATTTTTTCTCTACACTAGTTTTTATATTTTCTAATAGTTATTTTCATCGTAATGAATCTAACTAAGCGAAAATAAAAAACAAAAACAAAAATAAAGTTATTAGAAAATTTACTTTCGACAAAATTCACGTTTTTTTTTACTTTATCCGTGTGTTGGAATCGTTGCAACTGCTGTTGTTTTTCTAAACTGGAAGTATTCCTTCAGTAGAATAAGTAATTAATACAAGCGTTATATTTATTCCTGTTCATGAATCACATTTGTCCTATGTCAAGAAAAAAAAGAGTTAAATTAGTTTAATTGCATCAGAATAATTTTTTGAGCAACATTGCTTTTATCACGCTAATTACTTTTATCACGCTAAATATAATTCAAACTAAAATGTTATAAAAATACCACTTGTTATTCGCTGAAGACGATCAATACTTCCCTAAAATGTCATCGTTCAAATTTGTTAAAGGATCTACATACATCAAGGACGGCTGATTTCAATTAAACTTTATACAAATTTTATGAATATCAACATTGAATCGTAAATCAGTTTTATCAAATCTTTATTTTTTAAAATAGTTGTACAAACTAAAATGTCTTAAAATTGCTGTTATTCTCTCATAAGCCTCGTACTATTTTTGTTTTGGCGATTAATGTAACCTTGGTATACACACTGGACTGTTTACCTTGTCTTTATTGAGAAATAATTGAAAAAAAAAATATTCTAAACGACAAATCGCGTGATAGGTCTGCTATTGGAATGAAATGAAACTCTTTTAGTTTTGGACCGGAAGGAATTATATAGATAATTTTCTTGTAATTGTTTGTTGATCTATATGTTGAATATAAAAACTTTCACTTTGAAAATTAGTTTTTTTTTAACAGTATTTCTAATGTGTTTTAGACGATGATCAGCAAAAATCAACGTTTTCTTTTATATAAATGTAGATATGGAAATAATTTTGACCAAGGAAAATATAAGTTAAAAATTAAAGTTTCTGGTTTAAGAAACTTTTTTTCTTCAACTTGCATAGATTAAATAGTTTTTTTAAAGAAAAAAAGTGAACTCTTTTCAATTATGCACTAAACAAATTAAATCAAAACTTATTTGTAATAGATTTTGTTGTTATAACTAAGTAATGATTTTAATCCAATAAAATCAATTGCTATTTTCGGCGTTAAAATGTTTTATGAATAAATTATTTGTGATTTTTAATTTACTGTCAACAAAAGTACACGAATCGTAAATTAAACTTGGATAATTTTTTTCCTTCAAAATGTAACTTTTTAACGAATTTTTATAATTTTTGTAAATATAAGCTGGGACTTTTCTGATAACAGGAATTAATTTAGTTTACTTTAGCTTTGCTCATGCATCTCTTTTGTCTGAAAACATAAACAAATGGCATACCCCTTTTTGAATTAGGTGTTGATTAGAAGAAAGAATGAAACGGTCTTATTATAGAACTTTATTTTAAAAAAATCTAAGTTATTATATAGATAAGAAATATAGGTAACTATATCTAAATTAAATATCGAAGTAATCTAAATTTTTAAATTTTCAAAAGAAAAACATGATAAAATTTCCAATCATAGATCATATTTAGAAAATTAATTCTTTTACGAACTCCCACTGTAGTAATACTGGGTTTAATATTTTTTTTTTTTTTACCGCGTAAAACGTTTTAAAACTAATTTTAAATTAATGCTTATTTTTTATTGATTTCATTTTTATTTTTGAAACACTGATTAATGATTGTTTTTGTATACTTGTTCAAAGTTAAAAGTGCACACTTTAAATTACTTTTGATCTAACGATCAGATTTTGAATCTTAATGGTTCGAAGGCCTAAAATCAAATATGCTCATTATTTAGAACAGACGATATTTTAAGTTACAAAATCAGACGCAAAACGCACTTTCTATGAATAAACATACTCTTTTTCGACAGAATCTTGACTCTCAAAGCAGAGGGGTTGGGGTAGCCGCGATTTGGGAAATATGATTCAATAGTTTGGTCAGTAAAGAAGCCGGTAGTTTGAACCCCTTCAGGGGTCTGTTTAGAAGAAATTTGGGTCCGTTAACGGATCCTTCACGAAATATCTTTTCATAAAAACGGACCCTTCACAAAATATTTTAACTTAAAAACGGACCCTTCACAAAATATTTTAACTTAAAAACGGACCCTTCACAAAATGATTTTTCTTTTAATCGGACCCTTCACAAATTTGTTTATCTTCATTATTATTTTGTTTCGAATAAACCCTTCCCAGGGCAGAAAACAAGAAAGATGGATGTAAACGAATTAAGTTTTGTCTTCGGCAGACGATTCTTCCATTATTCGTCCGAAATTAATATTCTGCATTCAGCAGTATAGGCTAAATACCAAATGTTGCACCTCTAATTTAGAAGCAGCAATTGCTGTTTATTTTTGAAAATTTTTTTTATTATAGTTTTACAGTGCCGAGCATAATCTTGTATCTATTTACAATTTAAAAACTCCTTGAAAAAGATTTTTGCAATAACCGGACCCTATTTGCACAAATTCATAAAAGCGGACCCTGGTTGAAAGAATGTGAGTAATTTTTTCACAATTTCACGAAAAACGGACCTTTCACAAAATGTCTGGACAGACCCCTGCCCTTAATATTAATTTACTTTTTTGCGTATTTCACCATATCTGGGCGATTCTCACAAAACATGCGTTCACTGTCCCTTGCTCCAAGATCTAATACTATAATACTAAAAGAACATTTTTTAAAAAAAAATTAATAAATAGCGTTGCTGTTAGCATTTTAAAATGACTTTGCTCTAGCATTGACTGTTTTGTATACTTAAAAAATTTAATTGAATATCAAAATGTCATTTTCCTGGCATGTCCCAAACAATATTTCCAATAATAACTAGCTTCAAAAGCTGGTCTTATCCTATGTAAGCATTTCTAGAATATACGCAGAGGGTACTGTTTACTAAAACTTCGTTTAAAATTTTTTTTCTCCAGTCAATAATTTGTTTGTCCCATGAAAATCTGTCATTTTCCTGGCTACTTTTATTTAATGATTTATAACTAAAATAGATCGCGCCAGGAATCAATATCTAATGTTAATAGATTGATTAGATACACTCCTATCTGAACATGTCTTGTTGCATGAATAAAGAACCAATTTTCTGGCTCAAAATCTATTTCAAAAATTTTTTCAAGGTGAGTAGGTTTTTATGCTGTCATTTTCCTGGCTTCTTGAAATCATTAATAACAAAAACTACATAGATTTATCTGAGTTATTTTAAGAAATACTGTTGTTTTCTGCAGAATATAAACGTCTTCGGCCAAAATATTAAATTAAAGTAAAGTTATATGCTATAAAATGGCGATTTTGTCATTATCCTGGCTTATGAATGCCAGGACATTGAAGTGTTACCAGAAATTCTTTTTAATTGCTAATACTGTAAAGGGGGAAAGCAAATATTAACCTAATATCAAGTTTATGTATGATTGTAATATGATTGGATGTAATCAAAGTTATTTATTTATTTAATGATTGATTATTATACACAATTTTATTCTGCACATATCAGCAACAAAATTTTTTTCGTTTCTTTCTACAGTGGATAAAAAGAATTAGTTTAAGTTATTCATGGTTCATCTAACGTAAAGGCTTAAGTTGAGTTACTTACTTAAAATGACTGTTTTTTAAACTTCTAAGGTAATATGTCATTTTCCTGGCATTCAAGATTTGGTGAATTTCTATTTTATTTTTTTTCTCGA